GGCAAGGAGATCAGGAAGCCGATTAGCCCCAGGTCCCATCCCTTTGGAGCCTTGAAAGCTTTCAGGCCCGAGGAAGAGGACACCAGCTCCAGCCAGACATCCAGCCCAGAAGTGTTCAGCCCACTGGGAACAAAGTCCAGAGAAAAGGCCGGAAGAAAGCGTAAACACACACACCCAGAATTCTGCCATGAAGAGCTGTTGTGGCCACAGGACAACTCAAGAAGCAAACTCAGAAGAGAATAACTCAAAATTATCTTCAAGCAAAGTCTCAAGTGAAAATGCAGCTTGGGCACAAGTCCAACCAGAATTGCTAAAAGAGCTAAACCAAGAATTTTAAATAGAACTAAAAATGATTACAAAAACCAGATGAGAGGGGTATGAAAAAAATGGGAAAAGGAATGAGAGCTATGGAAGTAAGACATGAAAGAAGAATTAAAAGCTCAGAACAAGATATACAAAACTTTGCCCCAGAAAGCAACACCCTAACCACTAGAAGTGACTAAAATGAAAATGTCCAGCATCACTATAGCCAAAATGCAAAACTCTCAGGTCAAGGCAAAGCAGTCAGAAAGAAAGAATTTAAGTACTAGCAGCCACAGTTAGGGTCTGCAAGACTTAGCTTGGAATATGATATTCTGGATGTCAAAAGATCTAGGCTCACAACCAAGAATAAACTTTATTCATCAAGACTGAGTATAATACTACAGAGGAGAAATGGACCCTGATGAAAAGACCAGATCTGGGTAGGAAATCTGACATACACACCCAGAAGTGAAAAGAAGCATGAAAAGGTAAACATGAGCAAGCAAACATATGGTACTAAACTAGGTTAAACTGTATACATTCTTAGATAAAGAGGTGTACGTGTAACCTTTCAAAATTCTGTCATTATTAGGGGTCACAGAAGAAGTCTAATTAGACAGACAAGCAGGAAGTGACTCTGTTATGTTTTGATAATCATAAAAGAAGAATTTAAGGGAATAGGATGGGAAAGAGGAATACTAAATATATATCCACCAAATGGCATAGCATCTAAATTCCTAAATGTTAAATGAGTTGCAGGGAAAAATAATAAAACTGTGATAGTAAAGGCCCTCAATTTATCCCTTCTGAGACCTAAATCAATCTAAACTTCTTCCTCCACCAAACAAACAAAAAGGTATGAAGGACCTGAATAAAATTTTATGGAAATTAGAGATGATAGACCTCTGAAGAACACTGGATAAAAAAAATATAAAGGAGTATGCCTATTTTTCAGCTGTGCATGGCATTTTCACACACACAAAATTGATCACATATTAAGGTATGAAAATTTCACAAATATAGAATGTAGAAAAATGTAGAATGTTAAATATTAAATGGATATTTTACCAGCCATAATACAATGAAATTATATACAATAAAAGATCTTTGAAGCAAAGATTAAAAATTAATTGGAAACTAAATAACTTAATCTAAAGAATAGGTATGATAAAGAATAAATCTTAAAAACAATCAATATTTTATTAAAAATAATCATAGCAACAAGACAATATACTAACATTTTTGTGATGCATCCAGAGCAGTACTTAGGAGAGATTTTATATCTCCAAACATTTTCATCAATAAAAAAGAAAGCAAATCAACAAACTGAGCATACCACTAGAAGAACAACAACAACTAGAAAAACAACAAGTTAAAAACCACCAATTAAATGCCAAAATAGACATCCAGAAAATCGAAGGAGAGATTAACATAATTGAAAGAAAAAAATTAAATTAAAAATAAAACTATGAGCTGGTTTTCTGAAGAAAAAAAGACATTAGCTAAATTGATTTTTAAAAAGAAAGGAGAAAATCAAACCATCAGTATCAAAAATAAAAAAGTGAATTCAATGAGCATTACAACACAAGAAATAGTACAAGAGAACTGCCCAGAACTTCTGAACACAAAAAATGAAATTTCAGTGGAAAGAATTCATAGATGACCTCCAGAAAGAAAAACAAATACCTCAAGGCTGCAAACTCCAAGACACGCAGCGGTTAAATTTAGCGATTTAATTCAGAAACAAAAAGTTCTGTGAATGATCAGGAGAAAAACAAATACTAAAGAAAGGAAATTGAAATTATATAATTCTATTCTGCACCCAACAAAAATTCAGGAGGGAATGGAAAAGCAGTGTTTCGGGGGGGGGGGGAAGTGTTTGGAAAAGCAATGGAGCTCAGGATGCAGCCCAGAGTGATCTCGCCTGTAAATCTGAGCTTACCCATAAATGTAAAAACGATGGACTTCAATAATTAAGATACATTTTAAATATTCTTAGAAAGAAAACTAGACTTGAAGATGGTATTTACTTCTTGAACACCCTGAACAACAAAAATGCAGGATGGGTGAATGAATACAGCAGGCAAGGACAGGAGCAGCAGAAGATTGATAGCAGAGAGGCCAGTAAGAGATGTCTTTCTAAATGTAAACAAAGAGACAGGGAGAAGTCAAGAGAAGGTAACAATCCAGCAGCAGATCTGAGGCATTATGGATAGAACCCTGTGACAGCCTGCCTACAGGTGAATCATTGTGTTGGGGTTTTAGTTTTTTGTTTTGAGGGAGGTTTTTGGTGGAACTACAATAAAAATGTAGGGGCAGTTAGATGGTTCAGTAGAGAGTGAGCGATGAGCCTGGAGTCAGGAAGACTTGAGTTCAAATCCAGCCTCAGATACTTACTAGCTGCGTCACCCTGGGCAAGTCATTTAACTTCTGTTTGCCCTAATGCACTGGAGAAATAATTGGCAAACCACTCCAGTATTTTTGCTAAGAAAACCTCATGGACAGTGTGGTCCATGGTCATGGAGAATCAGACATCACTGAGTGACTGAATAACAACATTAAAATTGGAAAGGTACATAAAATGTGGGGGGAGCAGAGGGATAGAGAGGAGTGTGTATGGAATCAAACTGAGGGCCAACAATGAGAGAAGGTGACCCCTGTGGTCTCTGAGGAAGAAAACAATCATCAGAGGAGTGGGTGAGGAGGAGGAGGGAAAAGATTGAAAAGGAAAGGCAAAAGGTTAGGGACCTTATTTTGGAGATGGAAGAGAGTTCTACTGACAAATGCTCCTATGGGAGAAGAAAGATGTACTGTGAAGGAAATCAAGACTTTGTGCTGGGACTAGAGGATTTGTTACTTGAAAAGATGGCAGCTGGGGGAATGGTGGTGAGGCATGTACCAAGAAATGAGATTTTGAGGCAAATGGGGAAAAGAAGGTAGCCAGAGAGAGGGTATGGATCAGTAGTGGGCTGCATAATCAAAGAGATGAGGAGGAGGAGGAAGTGGATCCACCATGGGGCAGTGTTTTCTCTAATACCTGCAATAATTGGCATTGTTCTGGGAATGAGGCACAATGGAAAAGAACAATTCAAGGAGAAAGTTCTACAGGGCAGCCTTAGAAACCACCTAGAAGAGATAGCCTAGAATGGACACCTTGAAAGCTTTTATTACACGAGAAATACGAAGGATAGAGAGAAGCTAAGTCTAAGACAAAAGTGAAAATATGGAACTGAACAAATTGCTGGAGAAAGTAGAGTTAAAAGACTCATAGAGTCTTCTAAATGAGACAGTGAAAGAATATATATATTCTCAGAACCACAGGGAACTTTTTCAAAAATTGACCTAGTTACTAGGGTATAGAAATATTGCAAATAAATGTTAAAAAACAGAAATAGTTAATATATCCTTTACAGACCATAACACAGCAAAAATAAATAAAATAGTCATTGGCTCAAGGACCTTAAAAAATAAGACAGACTCAAATGAAGACTTAACAGTGAAATCCTAAATTATTAGATGGTCAGAGAAAAAATCACAGAAATAATTAATAATTATGTGAAAGAAAATGACAATGATGAAAAAACATACCAAAATTTCTGGGATGCAGCTAAATCAGTCCTCAGGAGAAAAATCATATCTTGATAAATATACATTAACAAAAAAATTTTAAAGAGAGGATTCATAAATTAAATATGTATTTAAAAAATTAGAAAGCCAAAAAAAGAAACAAACCTAAAATAAGCACAAATAAGGGGATATTAGAAATTAGAAAAGAAATAGATAAATTGGAAACAAAAATTAAATAGAAATGATAAATAAAACTAAAAGCTGGTTCTTTGAAAAGATTAATAAAATTCATAAGCCCTTAGCTAATCTGATTAAAAAGAAGAGAACAGAAAATCCAATCAATAAAATAGCAAATAAAATGAAATCACAATAAAACCAGAAGAAATGAAAAGAATAATTAGAATATATTGTGCACAGTTATAAGCTAACAAAATTGAGAACATAAAAGAAATAGAGGAATATCTTCAAAAATATAAAATACCCAAACTATCAGAAGACCAGATAGGGACTTTAGATAACTCAATCTCAAAAAAAGAAATAGATCTAGCTATAAAGAAACTACCAAAGTTGGGGTGGGGGGGAATCCTGGTCTTGGTAGACTTCCAGGTGAGTAAAAACATCTTTCTAAAACTAATAGTGTTATATACAATGAGGATATATTAAAACTCTTTCCAATAAATACAGGAGTAAAGCAAGAATGTTCATTTTTCCCACCATTATTTAACATATTCTGGAAATACTAGAAACAGCAGTAAGACAATGGAAAGAAATTAAAGGCATAAAAATAGGCAAAGAAGAACTCAAAGTATCCCTATTTGCTGATGATGTGATGATATACTTTTAAAATCCTAGGGACTGATCGCAGAAGTCTTAGCTCCCTGGGATGTGCTCCGGTGTGAGAGAGAGGAGGAGCCTCGCCCCCCCCCCGTTTCCCTTCCCCCCCCCCCACCAACACGCATCATTTCTCGGTTCCTTACCCCTATCCCCGTGGCCTTGCCCTCTCCCTCCTCCCCGCCTAGCTTGGAGAGCAGGGGATGCGCAAGATGCGCCCTGGACCGAAGCCATCCCTTTCCTTCCTCCCCTCCTTCAGCTGGTTGTTGGCGCCAAGTTCAAGTTCGCTGACTGAGAACCGCCCCCGCGTACCCACCCTGCCCCAACCCGACCCGCTCCGCCCCAGGGCTGGGCCCAGAGCAAGGGATGATCACTCCCCTAAATAAATCCGGAACCCCCTCCTGGCCCGGCCAGCACCCGCGGGCGCACAGGCTGAGACTCAGGAGCTCGGAGCCAGCCGCCTTCCGTCCTACAGTCAATCAGTCTACCGCCCAACTCTCATCCTCTCATCTTGGACCCGGACCGGAACGCACTCCCTTCATCATGCTCACGCTCCTGCTGCTGCTGTGGTCCGCTCTGCTGCCCCGGCCGGCGCTGGGGGAGCCTCTGCTAGAGTCCAGAGGTAAGGAATGGAGGGCCACGGGGAGAGGGGAGGGTCGCTGTCCAGAGCTCCGGTCCGTCCAGCCTCCGGGTGCGAGATCCGCACTGAAACCTCGGCCCTCTTGCCCTCTTTTCCCTCCTCGGCCCCCCACCCCACTCCTGGCCTCGGAATCCTTCCCTTCTCTTCACACTCCGCATCCCCCACCGTCCTCTTCTTCCTCCACCTCTCCCACTCTATCCACTCCCCCATTCCCCGGTCTCCCTCTCTCCCAACTCCTCTCTGTCCTCTTGGTCTCTCCATTCCACCCCCCGCCCCGACACACACCCCATTCTTCTTTCCCTCCCCCTCCCTCACCTTCTCCTGATTCCTGTCTCCTCCCCTCCCCTTTTCTCTTGGCCTCCCAGCCACATGGTCTCCTCTTCCTCCCTGTCCCCTCACGCCACCTCGGCTCCTTGTGTCCTCTGGGGGGGGGGGATACTCTGCCCCTCTCCCTACTTTCCTCTCCACTCTCTTTCCCCTCCCCATCTGTCTTATTCTCCCCACTCCTCCGCCTCCCCTCTTGTGTCCTCTGGTCTTGTCTTCCGGCCTCCTCCTCCTCCCAGGCCTCTCACGCCTCTCTTCTTCCTACACCCATAGACGTCCCCCCGGCGCGCTGTCTTCTGCCCCCGGATGAAGGGCCATGCCGCGCCCGCCTTCCCAGCTACTATTATGACCGCCACCTGCAGAGCTGCCGCCTCTTCTTCTTCGGGGGCTGCGAGGGCAACGGCAACAACTTCGAGACCCTGGAGGACTGTGAGCAGGCGTGCGGGTGGATTCCTAGTACGTGGGACCTCCCAGGGCGCCCGCTGCTGGACCCTGCCCCCTCCTGGCGCTGCGGAACCCGGCCCAGGCTTCCCATTGTTAGCTCTGAGCCCCCATCCCCTCTCAGCTCCTATCTAGCACCTCCTCTTCTCCTCCTGCCTGTCTCCTCCTGAGCATGGGCTCCCCGGTGTTAGCTCTGAGCCCCCATCCCTCCCACCCTGTCTAGCGCATCCTCCACCCCCTCCCGTTTAGCACCTCCCCCCCTCCCCAGTATCCAGGCATAATCCCAACAACATCATTATTGTCCATAACCTGTAATTTTGTCCCTTCGGTTCTCAGACCTTATTTCTAGATGACACATTCATTCATTCAGTCAGTCAATCAGTTCATCGTTCATTCAGACAAGCGCAATTAGGGTTAGTTAGTTAGATTATGGATCAGTTATGGGCCCACTCAGGTGCTAGTGGTTGGAGATTTAAAAAAAAAAACCTCGTGTAAAGAGTCCCTGCTCTCAAGGAACTTGGGGAAAAGGCCCCAACAATAAGCACGGAGAAGGAAGGCACTATACGAGTAAAGGGAGGGAGTCCGGAGAGCTGCCTGTAGGAGGTGGCACTGGAGGTGAGGTGGGAGGGCCAGACTTCAGCCCCACCTCTCCTGACCCCACCCTAGGCATGTAAGGGACAAATACAAAGGGGCTGCTCCGAGATGTGATCAACTCAAGGACCCCTGAGGATTTCCTTGCTCTTAGATAAAATCCTTTTGCCATGTGAGTCATAATCAACTCCACATGACTTGCACGAGTAGCTTTTGTTAACCGACTGCCTAATCTTAATTCTTATAGCCTTGGCCCATGATTTAAAAATGCTATTTTTTCTGGCACATTGGAAATTCTCACCCCTCCTCCCATATAGCATGACTTTCTTATGGTCCCTGCCACAAGGAAAGGGTCATAGAACAAAGACTCTGGTTTTCTCTGACCCAAAGACTGACTCACTTGTCAGAGTCCCCATCCATGTTCCTAGAAAACCAGACCACAGTGGCCAAGGCCTCTCAGTAGGCAATGCATGGTGAGTGTGGAGCCCCAGCTGAGGCTGTAACGCCCAAGTCTGGCTATTGGCCCCCATGTGCTTTTGAATTAGTACCTCGGGACTACTCTTTACTCTTTTGAGAGGGAACCAGGCCACAGGGCCCTGGAGTCTTTGGGGCTTGAGTCTCACCTCAGCCATTGCCTGGCTGAGTGACCCTGGACAAGTCTTTTCACTTCTTGACCTCTCTGCAGCCCTTGGCATTGTTGACTTCCTTCCACTAGATGGTCTCTCTCCCCAGGTTTTCATGACATCTTCTGACTCTGGACATTTTCACTGGCTGTCCCCTCTCTCACCCTCACCTCCACCTTCTGGCTTCCCTGACTTCCTTCCAGATTCAGATCGAATCCCATCTGCTGCAAAAGCCTCTCTAACCCAAAATCCACTTCAAATCTTTCCACCCTCCCAATCCTTTCCCTCTGAGCTTACCTCTAGTTACTCTACCTGTCTATATTGTATGTATCCAGCTACCAGCATGCTATCTCTCCTATTAGAATGTAAGCTCCTTGAAGGCATGAATTCTTTCTGCTCTTTTCTATTGCCAACATTTAGCAGTGTCATGCTCCTGCAGGAATCTATGTAGTTATTGCTTACTCAGTGCTTATGGACTGACTGACACTGAGCCTGTTTCCTCATCTGGAAAATGGGTGTAATAAGAGTATCAGCCTTACAGATTTCTTGTGAGCATCAAATGAGATGGTGTCTGTAAAGTGCTGTAAACCTTGAAGAGCTAGAGGAATATATATCATTATCCCCACTGTCTAATGATGCTTAAATGTCCTCCTTCTCCTAGGAGTTCCCAAAATATGCAGGCTGGAAGTCAGTGGAGCAGAGTTTGGGGAGTACCAGGAGCGATATTTCTTCAATCTCAGTTCCATGGCCTGTGAGAAGTTTGTATTCCGTGGTGGTCATGGCAATCACAACCAATTCCCAGATGCTGCCATATGCAAGAACTTTTGTGCTCCCGTGAAAAGTAAGACATTCTCTCACTTGAGCAATGTACTCGAAATGCCTCAGGTATAACTCAGACATCACTGTCCAGGAGATTTCGTGCCATGACCCCATCCTGGCCGAGCATGAACATTGGCTGAGTGTATACCACCCTCACTCATGGATGCCATGACCTGAGAAGATTCAGCAGTGTCTCCTTTGCAGGACAGAAGTCCTCCTGTGGAGGGAGATTAAAAGGACTTTAAATTTAGCTCTTGCAGAATAGTTACACTGGGAATTTAGCCTCAGGGAGGAAATCACAGAGCATGTGGAAAATCCTGGCCCTCTTCCCTTCAGCAAGTGCAAAAACCTTGGTTAAATTGGGAGTTCTCTATTTGATGTCTCCTCCTGGGTTGCTGATAATAATCATAAATGTCCCTGGTTACCCAAGCAAAGCCCCAGGGAGGCAGGAGAGTTTGTGTTCTGACTGGACTCAGAGTGGTTTAAGAAGGGCAATGATGAGCTAGAGAATGTCCAGAGGAGGCAGACAGGAAGGTGAAGAGCCTGGAGTCCCCGGGAGAATGGAAGGGAACAAATATTTACCTAGCACCTATTACCAGTGAGGTGCTGTGCTAAGTGCTTTACAGAAATTATCTCACTTAATCCTCACAACAGCCCTTCCAGGTAGGTGCTGCTATTATCCTCGTTTCACAGTTAAGGAAATTGAGGCAAAGAGAAGTGCCTGAGGCCAGGTCACTGGAAGTCTTCTGACTCCAGACCTCTGGGCACTCTAACCACTGCACCAGCCAGCTGCCCTAAGGCCCCCATGGTACAGAAGGATAGGCTGAAGGAGCTGGGCATGCTTAGCCTGGAGCAGACTCATTGGGTGTAGAAGGGGCACATAAGGGCTGTCTTCAGGCATCTGAAGATCTAGGAGTTAGAAAGGCTCTTTGCCTGGACCTGGAGTCCAATGCCTGGGAGTCTGTCCTCTCAGCCTCTATAGAAGTCAGCCGTTCTATGATCCTCTGCATTGTAGAGCTGCAGAGCTTGGGCCAACAGAGGCAAGGAAAAACTCCCTAGCACTGAGAGATGGGCTGCATCCAGAGGCAGTGACTCTCCCATCACTGTAGAGGATCCAAGAAGGGCTAGATGATGTTCATGTGGATATGATTCCTGGTCAGATGTGGGCTGGACCAGATGGACTCTGAAATCCTTTCTTCCAGCGAAGAGTTCCTGGGATCTTTTGACTCCTTCTTGAGCACATCAGTGGCAAACTTTACAGGGGCTGCTGGTGCGGGGCTTGTTCCTGTTCTCAGAGAGAGGACTGGACAAGGGAGGTCTCCTGCATGGAGAGGGCTCCTTTAAGGGCCTTTGCTTGGCCCCTAGGCTTCTGCCCCAGCAGACCATTCTTCTCTGAATTTCATAGCTTCGGTCACAATTCAGGGTTACATATTGTCATTACCCCTTTGGGGCTTGGCTGACTCAGTTCTGTCAAGAGCCTTCTAACTCAACTTTCCTTTCTTTCCAAAAGTACCCCACTTCTGCTATAGCCCACGGGATGAGGGGTCTTGCTCAGCAAATGTGACTCGGTACCATTTCAACTGGAAAAGCAAAATCTGTGAGCCCTTTACCTACACCGGTTGCGGTGGCAATGAAAACAACTTTGTCTCCCTGAGGGACTGTGTCCACGTCTGTGTGAAAGGTACAGGTAACAGTGGGTGTTGGAGCAAAAAGAACTGGTCCTGCTTCAGGACAGATTGTGTCTTTGGGGGCCCTTCTTGATCTGGCATTGTCTGACTCCCCAAGGCTAGCTGCAGGGACTGGCCAGGGGCCCCAGCCCATGTGCCAAGTCAGCCACAAGGTTTCCTCACTGTATTTGCTATGCAGATCTCTTGTGTGTGTGTGTGTGTGTGTGTGTGTGTGTGTGTGTGTGTGTGTGTGTGTTTGTAAACTGGAACAACACAGACAGGAGGGGATCTTAGATTCATACTCCCAGCCTATTTGGCCCCACTATGCCTGTGTGTGTATCTTAGCCCAAAGATGTGTGAATCCAATTAGAAATGACAGTCAGGCAGTCAAGTACTAGGACTACATACCATGGCCTGGGGAGCAGCCTTCAGGGTGCTTTAAAGAAGGATGGGACCAGTCAGCCAAGGGTCGTTTCAGTGAGGATGCATGGACTGGTACTCATGCACTCTCTAGGATGCAGCAGAAACCAAGGGGCTTAGACTTGCTTCCCGGCTAGATCATCTGTGATCTCTGTTCCTCGTTTCTCTCAGCCCTGAAGAAAAAGCTCAGGAAGATGCCCAGACTGAGCTTTGCCAAGAGGATGAAGACATCCAAGAAGCTTCCCTGATCATGTCCCTGCCTAGGACCCCCAGGACTGGGACGGAAGGGTTGGCACTCATGTGGTGACACACGGGAAAACAAGAGAGATCACATTGGCCGAGCTGCTCCATGCCTGGGATTCAGAAGCTGTTATTATATGTTGCATGCTGTCCTGTTACTGGCAGCTCTTTGCTAAGGATCTGCAGCTCATTGGTTCACTTCTTGACTAAGCCCTGTAGGACATATTAGCCGAGGGTCACCCTTCTATTATTCTATTCTCTTCTGCTCATTCTTGTGGGGTCTGATTGGGAACATTGAGCCACTGGGCTCTTAGAAGAAGATATGGTTGAGGGTCTTCAAGCATGAGGAAAATATTAGACCCTATGTTTTCAAGAAGTGGATTTCTGAGGGTGGAAAAAAGAAAAGCACTGGCTGAATGAGGCTCCTCAAGTGTCAGCAGCTCTGTGAATCTGAAGACAGAGGTCCTTTGTCTGACCATTGTTAGACCCAGGTGTAGTCCTCTGCCCCAATTGGTGTAGGATGGCTGAAGCATGGCTGGGGGGGGGAAGGGGAGGGGGATGAGGCTGTGACAGCACCTTTGACCCTGGCATCTAAGTCCTCCTCCCAGTAACCAGCAGCCTCTCAAGTGCCCAACACCAGGCACAATGTGCCAACCAGGCACTTACCCTTGTGAGTAAAAAGGCCAGGGAGCCCCTGCTGCAGTCATGTGGAGCAGTCTTGGAATGTGCTTCTTCTCAGCATGACTCAAGGTTAGTGAAAACGCTAGAAGTTGGGCTTTTTAGGGCAGGAAAGATGAGAGTGCTTAACTTTTCTCGAGTTTGAGAATCCACTGTCAGAAACAAGAAGCCAGTTCCGAATGTGGAAAGGGGAGGAGGAGAAATGGATGAGCAAGACCTTTTTTAGGGGCTTACCTGCCCAAGTTGTGATGCAGCAGCTCTCTGCCCTGCTGTGGACACACCTGTGCCATCTTCCCTGGGGGTCCGTGCCTCTGCCCATTCACCCTGACCAGGAGTCTCTTCCTCTTTAGCCCCTGATTCCCGAAGCCCAGCAGGAAGGGGTAATGTCCATCCACAGAGACGTTCACCGAGGCCAGGAAGGGAAGGGCCTGTGACCATGGGAGTCAGGGGCCCCAGGGATGGAAGGGCTTTGGATTCCTTCTAGCCCATCCCCCTCACCCAAGAAGGACAGGATGTTCTGCTTTCTTTGTTGTTACCCCAAGACAAAAAAGTCGGTATTTCTGTGCTTGTCCAATCTCCTCTCCCCAGCTTTAGGAGTCCCTCCTGCGAGGGATTAAATCATCTACACCTTAGTGGTACTACCTATGATTCTCGTTTTCTTTCTACCAAGAATCACACTTGAATTTAACACACATCTTCAGGATCACCAAGTTCTTAATAAAACATTGATTTGAATGAAACCATTTCCTTCTTCAGTGAATTTTTTCAGGGATGTGCTAAATCCAGACATCCTTCTTGCCACGCCTTCCCCCACTCCCAACTCGCTAGGAGCCAGACAGAATCTCGGGGCGAGGGGGATCTGGGGGACATGTGGAGCCCCAACCCCACCCCCAATATCCTGGAGGAAAGCAAATTGTAGAAGGGAACCAGTAGACATCACAGGTCTGACCATTCCCTCTGCACTAAGCCCCCTGGCCTTGGCTCCTTCAAGGGTCTGCACCGAGCCCCACCCCCCATATTTGGCCCAATCTAATCTGTAGAAGTAGAACTTCTCTGATTTCTGCTCCCTGCTGTCTTTGATGATGAAGGGTGCTGGCCATTCTCAAAACCGCCAAAGTGGTGGAAAGGGACAGACTGAGCTGGCCAATGTAAACTAAGTGCTGACCCCTCCTTTTTGTTCAGAACCCTGGAGAACCATATTCTCAGACTGGAGAGGTTTAAGATGTGGCAAATAGATATGTCTAGCCTGATGGCCCTCTTGAAGATAAGAGAGGTCAAGCAGCCTCATCAGTCCTGGCTCTCACCTGCCCATCCCCTAGCATGAGGCTGCCAGTTACACCAACCCGCGATGAGTAAGGTGTAGGAAGCCTGGAACCATATGAAAGGTCCAAGCTGATATGGGTTTTAGATATACCCAGGTCTATACCCAAGGTTCCCTCCTGGTGACTCAAGAGGTCTTCTCAGAGATAACTCTGAGCCTCCCATAATTTCCCCCCCCCGGGAACATCTACAGAAAGCCTGGTCCCCTGAGCAAACTGGCCTTACCCTGTGTTGACACTTTTCTGCCCAGTTAAGCTGTGAAAGATCCTGATGAGTCAGCCCTTTTGGGACCAGATCCAGACCTGCCTCCCCCTGAACACTCATGTAGCTGCTGATTCCAAACCGCAGAGGCTTGAGCCCTGATCAGTTGGAATCAGGCACATCTTAGGAAGAAATGGCTAATTTTACTTTTGGGCCATTCCCCACTCATGTCACCCAGAGAAAAAGAAAGTCTGTTTGCTGCCTGCTATTTTATCAACCCCTAAGTGCCTTGGGGATGGGGGGGAGTGGAGGAGGGGGGAATGGTTAGGAGAGTGACCAGGAAGATGATGTGACAAGAGGGGGAGCCTTGTCCTCCCTTCCCAAGCTCCCCCTTCTCTTGGATGGGCTTAGCACCTTAACCCTAATCCTTGTTCTGTTATGTACTCGGGACTAAGGTCTCCTTTCACCCATGTTAACTTTGGCGAGAATTATCTTCAGGTGCCTTCACCCTCCCTTGGGGAGAAAGGAATTGAAGGCCTGGTTCCTGAGTCAGGTCTCCAATGCCTCCTGGCCACTCACGGAGCCCAGGGAAGGGAGAGCAGGTGGGCCCTAGATCTTCCTTCGTTCTTCTGAGGCCTCTGCATCTCTAACCCTCTGGCTTTATCTCCTCCCAATGGATGCTGCCCCTGACAGCCAGCCTCCTCTGGTTCCCTCCAGATGGAGGAAGGGTCCCTGAAGCTCCACTGGAGGGGAGGAAGGAAGCGAGGGCAGGATGCCTGATTCTAGCAGGCAGAGTGGGGCTGCGGGACCTTCTCCATCCACCCCATAAAGCCCAGGAAAGGTCCTTCCTAGGGTCTTGTGAGCTGTCATGATATAAACATTATGTGCCAAAGGCTCATTTGCTTATTTTTTGAATTTTCTTTTTGTTATGAGCTCGATGCTTATAGTGGGCATGAAGCAAGGTGGCCAAGGTACCCAACCGAGGAGCCAAGCAGGGAAACTGGAGAGGCCCAATGAAGCTTAAAGTCGGGGGGGAGGCTCCCTTAGGATGGGAGGCTGAGGCTGCTGCCATCAGAGCTGGACCTAGGTTTGGAGGAGCAACTTCCAGGGTGCAGCTGGGCAGGGCCAGGCAGCATTGCTGGGGGCATGGAAGTTGGGGGAGGAAATGCCCTGGAGGTTCTGTCCCCTTCTGAACCTCACCCTGGAGCCAAATCCCTTTCTGCAGCACCTGAGGACTTACTGCTTTGCTAAGGACATGTACATCATGAAGCAGATATATTCGATTGCAGAAATCAGCATTCACTCAGCCACACTTGGAATGTGCTAAGGAAAGTGTCACAGGAACAACAGGCCACAGGAATGACTCACTGCCACCCGGGGCTGCTTTCCTGCACTCAGGATTCAGCAGCTCAAGAATAATGAGCTTGAAAGAGATGGTCCTGTCACTGAACCCTCCCACGAGCCCAGGGACACAAAGCCAAAGGATGAAAGGGAAATTAAACCAGGAATAAGGAATGAGGAACTGGGGCTTCTGTGGGCAGACTGTGTGGGCTTGGCTTCTCCAACCGGCCCTCAGTTAAAGGCATTGTTGTGAATGGGGGTGAGAAGTGAGGACAATCTCTTTCTGCGGAGGTTCCATGCAATGGGATGACAAAGGGATCTGAAAGGTCCATAAGGACAGGGACAATCAGGGAAGGCTTTCTCCCATTTACCTCTGCTCATTGCAGACAAGGGGCCCTGTGTTCCTTCTCTGGGACAAGTCCTCCATACCATTAATCATCTCCACCTTCATGCAGAGGCAGGCACCTAAGCAGAACTGCACTTTGTGGAGCTGGTCTGTACCTTCCTGATCTTGGTGATGCCCTGGGCTGACACCACTTTGGCATGAGCAGGGTACAGATACCTCCTAACCTACAAGCTCCTCCAGACCTACTTTGCTAAATTTCACACAACACAGGCATATGCACACAGTAGGTGCTTAGGAAATGTTTGGTGTGGATGGGATCTCTGGGAGATACCTCCAAGATCATTTCTCTAACCTTCAGGGAGGCTTCCCTGAGCCTGTTTGAAGATGTCCTGTGACAGGGACTCAATAAGGCATCCTCTGAATCTTTAGGGAATCCACACGTTAGAAAGTCTTTCTCCATACTGAGCTTAAATCTGCCACAGAAACCCACAGTCATTGTCCCCCGTTGGTCCCACTAGGGCCAGACAGAACAGATGTCCACCTTCTTCTCAGTGCTGCCCTTCAAATTCCTGAAGATGACCTTATCTCCCACCAGAGCTGGCCCTTCTCCAGCCTTCACTTACCCAGCTCCTCTGATCTTTTGGTGGCATGGCTATCAGGGCCACTGATGAGGCCCTAGTCTGTCAATTTCCTTCCTCAAATATGGCACCCAGATAAATACAATACCCTAAAAGGGGCCTAAATTAAACAGAATTAAATTGAACTTCAAACTCAAAGAAGACAGCTGATTCTTAGATCCTTTAATTGAATTTGAATAAAAAGTATTTATTAAACACTTATTATGTTTCAGGCCTGAGAGTGCTTTAGCCACAGAAAGTTGACTTTCCCACTAGATCGACTGTGCAATGATGTGAGATCAGCATTCCAGGATTGTATCGCTTTATGAATGAGGATATGGAGCCTGAGAGAGGGTTAGCAGACTTGTATAGCAACACACAGCTGGGAAGTCTCTGAGGTGTGATACCAACCCAGGTCTTTGAGACTCCAGATCTAGCTCCTGTTCTGACCCTACATGGTACTGCCCAGTATCCATCAAGGAAAGCCCCTGCATTGTTCCTCTGGGCTTGAACTGCAGAGATAAGAATTCATCAGGATCCAGGTGGCTCTGGAGGCAGGGGAGGAGGGTACTTCTGGGAGGTCTTCAATGAATCAGGGGCCAGTCAGAACTCCACAGGCTCCTAGGACTGACCCTTCTCTTTGGTCTGCTGGCAAGGGGCTTGCTCAGATCCTCTCTGAAGCCCATAAGCTACTGCTGAAGCCCTCAGTACCCAGACTAGACTAGTAGGGAATAAGGTTTTTAGAAGACTGAGCCACTCTGAGGCATGGAGACAGCCTTGGGGAGAGGAGGATGGGTATGGTCCTTGGGAGCCACCTTGCTGGCTGGGGTTTGAGACTGTCCACCAACCCCTGTCCTGGAGATATTTCAGCTTCTTGAACGATGCTGCTGATCTGCCAGCCTGCCTCTGGGGAGGAGATGATGAAGATCAGGCTAGCTCAGCTGCATCCTACCAGACAATGCACTCTCCTACATTATCACTGTTTTTATTTATTTCCCCTGGGAGAATAATAAGAAGGATACCTCTCCATTCTATAGGAAAAGAGCTAAAGCCGTGTGTCTCGTGGGTCTGCAAAGATTTCTCATTTCCAACAGAAGCCGTGGGCCAAGTGCTGAGGAGATGGAGACAGATGCTAATGTGTGTCTAGGAGACTGCTTTCCTTTAGAAGTGCCATTATTAAACTGAGTCAGTCTCTGCAATCTGTGAGGCAGAGGTGTATGCTGAAAGACCCCAGTCATTCCCAGGATGCCTCCATGTGCCCCACAAATGGGCAGAGGAAGAGAAGGAGAAATTACAATGAAGACCCAAGAATATCACCTAATAGGCAGGTTCTCCACTTTAGTTACAGAGATAGATGTCTTCCTAGGGGTGGGGGAGCAGGCAGGATGAGGTGACCCATCTGTCCACTTTTATTCTCTTTCCTTTTCACCCTTTCCTGTAATTGATATTTTGCAACAGTGACTGGAGGTATATGTTCGTGTGCATGTGTGTTTGAAGGACTGGGGGGGGGGTCATGAAGATGGAGGAAGA